CCTATATACTCGTGCGCACTGTAGCTCGTGCTACCTATATAACTATAGGACTTGCTTGTATTTCAGTATTATTTACTGTTCACTATGTGAAGGATGTGTGTTTACTGTTCATAGTTTATTCAAGAATTGATATCAGAATGCGCCCAAGGCAATCAATATTATTAGATACATTGTTTAAAAGTGCTATAAGTAAACTCTATACTTGGTTTAGAATTATTTTGTTGTCATGTTTGTCAATTTTATTAACGATAGCACAAATGTGAGTTACTTGTCATTTGGCCGCTATTTTGTTAATACTAACATACGCATAATCATACACAAAAGCGGCCAAATGACAAGTAACTCATACGTTCTAACTTAGCTACATACCCTGTTGTGTTTGAAGGTAAAGTATTGTACATCTTTTTATACTTCTTACAAATTGAATTTACAACTAATCTCATGATTCGATGCTTATCTAGGAATGTTTCATTTGATTTTATATATGTCTCTCTTTTCTTGTCTTTACTAACTTCATGGTTTTTGTAATAGGCTTGTAATATTTTTTTTCTTCCGGTTGCACTGTTTTGTTGTTGTTGTTTTTTAGTTGTTTTTTTAAGTAGGTTTTAGCTCTTAAACGATCAGGATGAGGGTTGGCAGCATAAGCATATCGCTTGCGAATCCTTACAGAATAGGTTCCCTTCATCCTAGCACGTATAAGTTCAGGATTTAATATATATCACTTTACCGGAGATGGATTACTATGGTAGCTATACAATTCAAGACGCTTTACAGGAGATGGATTGTTATAATACTTGCTCGTACAAGATTTAGTATTGAGCTTGAATTACTTTTATACTACATATGTCTAATACTTTTTATGAGTTTGAGAATAAAAGTGCTCAAATGGTCTATGCCTTTTTATCTCGGGGTTTGCTTTATACTTCTGCCTCTTACTATTGTTCACCACTGCTCTATGAGTAGCCCATTTGGAAGATGTTTGAACAGGTTAAAGTATACTCATGTGTTGATTTTTGTTGGGTTCATCATTTTGAAAAGGATACGCATTTAAGCTACATTTAGCTATGCCAACTGGATGTCCAGCTGTCACATTATCCTGTGTATTAACAATTAGATGTCCAGATGACGTCTTACAGCCTGGGGATTCACATATTGTGCGAACTGGATTTCTGAAATTGAAACCAGCATCTTTCTTTTTCTGCCAGCTGGACATTCAAAGACATGTTAAGGCTAATATCTGTTGTAAAATTGACAGGTACATTAACGCCATTACATATTTACCTACTACTTTTTTTTTCGAACAACATATCCACATGAGCATACTGATTTTTCAACATACATATTGCTTTCACAATTATGACAAACTGTATAAATACCTGGGCCAGGGTTACTCTCAATGCACCCACAACATAGGAGAAACACAACAAAAAACGGCACCATTAATAAACCACGCGTTGCTGTAATATTCGATGTACTTTGTAACGAATTTGTTATTATATATTAATTTTAATATCAACGGTTGTTTAGATTAAATTTATATTTAGAAACATACATAACTTGTACTCTTAAATATGTATTGCAAAACTCCCGCCTATTCTCCAAAGTTGTGGAAGATTCTCGAGAGTAAGAATCAACAATATATGTGTGTAAGTAAACACTTAAATTGAATTGTTGTGTAATCTGAATTTTCTAGAAACCTTCCCACGGCTATAAATGTACAACGTGACAAGCCAGGGAAACTATCTATTATTAGTTCGCTATAATGAGTGTGCTGTAAAACTTCGGAAGCTATAACTGTGATTGTTATAACGCTTATAAATTGGAAAACTGAAGATATTTGACAAGGAGCATTTACAAAGTTCGAACATTACAAATCATTTAACGTCAGTGGATTCTCATCGAACATTAGTATTTTTACGAAAACGTTATATAAATTCACCGCGGAAGACTCAGCGCGCGTGACTGGTGAATAACGAAGGACAAGGACTCAGCGTGGGTGGCCAGCAAATAACGAAGGACAAAGCTAGCTTGCTTCCAGTTAAGTGAATTATACCTACGTCAATTAGCTCATCGTGAACCCTCGATTAAGGAAGTTCCAGACTAGAAAGAATACTTTATATTGTTTGTAAGTTTGTGAAATTTTTGTTTGTAATTCATTGTTTGTAATAACTATTTGTAACAATTGTTACTGTAAATTGTATTGTTGTGTGCATACTAAAACGTATTTGTGTTAAAAAAGAAAATTGTATGTATCAATCTTGTTGGCAAATATCGTAAACTGACTATATATCGGCTTTTACTTAACTGCTAAATCTAAAGTACTATTTAACTATTAATTTTAAATTTATCAGTTAACTCAATTTCAGGCTACTTAAAATTCTAATAAGTAACAACTTTGCCATGTGGGTGGCTTACAATGATGATCAGCAGCCATGTCATCATACTTGCAAGTAGCTTTGTTATATATGCATTTAACAAAAAAAAACGTCCTTGCTAATGTTAGTACCAGGCACAAAAAAAGATAATATCACATTTCAATAGTAAATAAAGTCAAAACTTGGACAATTCTGGCCCAAACCTGCCAGTCAGCCAAAATCACTTACAAAGCTTTTATATAAGTAGGTACATGTGAATAAACTGTGGACAGTAAACACACATCCCTCATATAGTGAATAATACTGGAAAACAAGGAATTTCTATGGTTATATGTATAGCACGAGATAAGTGCGAACTAGTATATAGGCTTATGCGTGTGGAAAATAAACATATGAACTTACAAACAAATCTGTTAGCTTAAGCAAAGAAGAAATAACTACCAACAAACAATTAAAACTCTAAATTCCACCGATTGGCGCAGGATATTTAAAACTTTACAAGGGGGTGTGGTACACGATAAATAAAAAGCCAAGCTCTTTACAAGAAAATAACTTATACCGAAACAATGGCCATGATAATGATGATTATGAAAATTACTCTTCAGAATTCCACGAATTTTTGCATAAGAAACAAAAGTAATAATATTCTTTATCCCTGTAAAGTCCCTATTGGCCTGGGTGCACTTTACTGCACATGGCACAAAGGTTTAGTGTCTTACATTCAAAATTTTATTAAACTACTTTTTGTTTATGTTATATCAATTAGAATAGCATAAAATCTTAGTTAATAATCCATATTTTAGTAGTATACAAGTTTTAAGTTCTTAATTCTACAAGAAAAGTTAAAAATAATTTATAATCTAGTTTTGTGTTAGATAAAACCAGCCCTGTAGCCCCCAGTGGCACAGCGGTATGTCTGTGGACTTTCAACGCTAGAAACCGGGTTTCGATACCCATGGTGAGCAAAGCACAGATAGCCCACTGTGTAGCTTTGTGCTTAACTTCAAAAACAAAAACTAACTTATTGCTTGTAGAGTGAGCATGAAGGAAGTAGTGATATTAATTTCAAAGCTATCTGACAGAGATTGAGATAATGGTTGAGATTTGAAAATTAAACAACGCACGCCATCAAAACAAATTGGGTGTACGAAAACGAATGAGAAGAAAAAAACGAAGAATATGGTCAGATTCTGTTAGGCAATATCCCGTCAAATGTTCCAAGGATTCGTTTCATTTTTGATGTGCTAACTAGAAATGTCTTGGTGGTTTACAGTCTCGAATATCTAAGGTGTAGCTGCTGTTACAATGGGTGAGCTTCAATGAGGCCGATTCTGCACACTGTCAAGTCGTGTAAAAAAAGACTCTCGGTAGTGGCCGCATTTTTTGGGGCGCGCGTGTTTACTTTTTCCTTGGTCGCGCGACTCACTACCGTGAAAAGTCTAAAGTGGGGACTGTGGATACTCGATGTCAAAGATTTAGGACAGTGTAAACTAAATCAAGTAAGTCTCAAGACTTCATGTATCAATAAAATGGCAGCATGTTAAACAGATATGAAGAGTCATTTTGATAATGAACATTCCTCTTCTTGTTCTACTGTTCTCGAATATGTTTTTTTCATAGAAACGTAATCACTTTACAACAATCACATTGACACAGAAGCCAACACGTGTAAAGGGACTCACACACGTTGACGACTAAAATATAAAGAAAATAACGACTTTTATAGTAAATATACACTAACGTCTTGTCAAAATGGATTAAACTTCATGAGGCGTTTTAGCTTATAGTTGCGAGGAAAAGACTATACATCAAAGCCAACCAAATAATCTAATTATCATTCATGTCATACGGGATAAAAATTAACCTTATAATTAATTTATGGTTGTCTCATATAATTCAATTAATACAGAGTAACGAAGGGCAGATATTTGTTAGAATGAATATTCTGTCTTATTCTAAATCAGTATTCCATAGAAATTATATATCTAAATTTATCTAACTTCAGTTGCTGGGAGTTAAGAAACATTGTGATTTTTTAAAAAGATTTATTGTAAAATATTCTTTAAAAACTGAACAAGAAATTAGCCTTTTCTTGGAAAAATTAATGATAAATTTTTAATGTCGTAAAACAATTACTAATTTTGTAAAAGACTAAAATCAAACGTCGAGAATTACATTTTCCAAACTCTTAAACTCGTTGTACATCATCCCCCCCCCCAGTGGCACAGCGGTATGTCTGCGGACTTACAACGCTAGAAACCGGGTTTCGATACCCGTGGTGGGCAGAGCACAGATAGCCCTTGTGTAGCTTTGTGCATAACTATAAACAAACTTCATGAGGCGTTTTATATATTACAAAACTACAAATTACCTAATACTAATAAATTATAAGATCTCTCTCATGATCGTATTTACAATTCAGCAACTTATGTTCTTATGGGACATCATTCGCAACAATTTACTTTTCCATGAACAAACTATCTTATACTATAAACAGCCTGCTTTATTTCAAGGAATTAGCATTTTTGTTTCTCGCTTCCATACTTTCTTCAGGTTTACACTTTTCTTATGTGTCCCCGACTATATTTTGGTACGAAGTAACAATCCACTAATTCTATATCTTACCGCCTTTTTTGTAATATACTATTTCCACTTGACATTCTTCGTAGGTAGACAGTGCCTTCTCGATATTGGCGACCGCGTACTGATTGGTAAGGGGTCCATGTAGAAACTCGCACATACACGATCGCTGCATAACCTCTGCTCTCGTGTAGCCCATCAGCTCAGTGAACCCATCGTTACAATAAATAATTGGATAATCTTCCAACTGGGCATTGGCTAAAACGAACCTTCTATCTAAGAAAGAACAAAAACAAAAAATATCACAATATGTTGAAGGGAACATATTGAAGAGAATTGAAATTCTTGAAACAAACAAGAATAAACTCGTAAGATCTACGGTATTAAAAAATTCCAATAAAGTAAGTAATTTGAATTTGAAATAATATTCCACTACTACTTAATCAGTAAATAAAACAGCGCATTTGTATTTGATTCTTTGGATTTTAAATGGAATATTATCGAAAGTTTACGAACTGAAAATTGCTCATAGATGGACTGTTATTCGAAAAAGGTAAACATTGAAAAACCTTTTCACAGGTAATGATGGAAACTATTTCTCGAAATACTTATCCAAAATATAATAAGTGTATAGTAATCTCTTAATCCTAACACCTATATGATGTTGAAAAGATCGAAAAGAAATAATAAACAATCTAATACTCTACACGTATTAAGTTCCTGATCAATTATTACATACAAAATACTTTGTGCATTACTCCTCGTAAAGCTACAAAATTCAAAGTAAACGGACGAACGTCCTGTGTTATTGCTTGGCCAACGATATGATGAAATGAACTTTTTGTTTCTGTGAGGTTAAATTGCGGTTAAATGTTTACTAAGTTTTATAAGTAGCATCATTATGTTTCATTTTGTTCAATTTAAGTGGTTCTGGATGTATGTATGTGTTTTCTAGTCACTATAGGTTAATTAAATTTAATTAAAACAGAATTAATCATGCACTGGAAGAAAAGTTTTATTGTATTAGTAGCTTAATCCATAAATACTAACATACAACGTATCGTGAGAAGAACAGACAATATTTATATAAACAGTAATAATTGTTTCACGTATGGAATATAAATAAACAAAGCTACTCGAGGGCTATCTGCGCTAGCCACTCATAATGTTGAAATGACAGATTAGAAGGAAGCCGTTTAATTAAGGCTGACAGGTCTGCTTTGCCGATTTGTTGTATAATATTGTAGAAGAAACATTTGTATTTTTGATACGTACAGAAATGTATTTGAGTCGTCTTTCATTAGTTCCTGTACCAAGTATTATAACTCTCTGTTGATTAGGTTTTGAAATTGTGGCCATCAGTCATGCCAGGATTGATTCTGCTATTAGAAATAACTTTTACTAGTTGGTCTCTAAAAATTAGAATTGTTTTATAAAGTATTACTACTGCCATTATATTAACACTGGTGCAACATTAAAGTAATATTGACGAGAAACCGACGAGCAGAAAGGATCATGCAGTAGCGAGAGGTATGAATACCTTATAAATTAATTTCAACCAAGAGTATCAGACGTTGTTATGATTTGGAACATGTTATAATTTCTACATAGAAATAGAAGAGCGACTTTGAATGAAAACGTTTTCATACAAGATAGGGTTCCATCCCAGATTGCACGGACTGTCAAGATATTGCTGGGATATACTTTCAGGGATTGACTAATTTTCCATACATATGACCAACACAGTGTCCAGATCTCACCCTTATTGATTTTTACTGTGTCGTGTTACCTGAGCGCTTAATCAATTTTTTTACAGCAATCCTTCTAGTTTACCCCAGATAACTCATAATTTCGCAATCTTTGTTTGAATGTTACATGCGGAATCTATGGATTTAGTGAACTATAATATCAGTTTAGAAATAATGAAACTTGAGCAACTTTCTAGTGTATCTGTAGGTGAGTGAAGAAGCATAGCAACTTTCATGTTCTTCGTTAGCACATATCATTATCTGCTCAACACTAATGAATGAAAAAAAAATACTTATTAAACTTTCAACCTGCTTCAACTACAAAGCAAAATATGTAATTTTAAGAGTAACAGAAACATGTAATGCACCACATCAAGAATTTGAATTATTTGAACATTAATATTTTTTATGAACTTTTTTGCTGCCGTTAGATTCTTAAATTGATATTCTGCGTGTGTTCGACTTGTACATTATAATAAAGAAGAAACAGAAATAATTACAAAATTAAGAGAACAGTACAATGTTGATCATTTTTTGAAATTATTTGTTGTGGTTTTATTTAGAAGGTTTTGTGTTTCAGTTTTGCTCTGATTACTAATAAATCCGTTCGATTACTGGATAGGCTAAGATAGTGTTTATTAATATATGCGTTCGATTACTGGATAGGCTAAGATAGTGTTTATTAATATATGCGTTCGATTACTGGATAGGCTAAGATAGTGTTTATTAATATATGCGTTCGAGTACTGGATAGGCTAACGTAGTGTTTATTAATCTATGCGTTCGATTACTGGATAGGCTAAGGTAGTGTGTGTTTATTAATCTATGAGTTCGATTGCTGGATAGATAAGGTAGTGTTTATTAATCTATGAGTTAGAGTACTGGATAGGCTAAGGTAGTGTTTATTAATCTATGCGTTCGATTACTGGATAGGATAAGGTAGTGTGTGTTTATTAATCTATGAGTTCGATTGCTGGATAGATAAGGTAGTGTTTATTAATCTATGCGTTCGATTACTGCATGGACTAAAGTAGAATTTGATATGTAGTTTAGTATTCCGAAGAGTGCTGTTTAAAATTGTTTGTTTGTAGTTATGCACAAAGATACATAATGGGCTATCTGTGTTCTGCCCACCACGGGTATCGAAACCCGTTTTCTAGCGTTGTAAGTCCACAGACATACAGTTTACAATTTCTTAAGTCAAAAGAGAATTTCAATATCATTAATGATGTTATCTCTATTTTGCAACTAGACCTCACAAGTGAGAGCATACTATAGCTATTGTGACTTTACACAGGACAAATGACTTTAGCTTACCATATTCACATTTCCAAGCCATTATCTTCTCATGTCGGAGATTCACGCGCTTTTACTCATATTATTTTTTATTCAATGCAGTGTTACTGTATAATTAGTTGGCCTACTCTACTGTACATACTTCGAAACATGATTTTTAGAATGTTACAATATTTGGCACATTTGGCAGTGAAATGATGAGAAAGACGATTACAATGTCAAAGGTAATTCTCACCAGTGGCTGCTAATATGTATACTGATAATTTTTAAAAACAGTATCAAGCATGTCAGGATTTATTCTGCTATTAAAAGTGACTTCTTGTATTTTATCACTGAATATTTAAACTGTTCTCATAAAGCATTAGTACAGCCATGGTAATAACGTTGATGCAACATTAAAGTAATGTCAACGTGAAAGAGGTCAACGGAGAACACCGTGTAGCAATGACGCTTAGGGGTACCTTATAAAGAAATCCGAACACAGATGATCTAATGTTGATATAACTTGGAACATATAATTATTCCTACACTTTAGAGAAAATGAGTTTTAAATGAAACAATCTTCATGTAAAATGGAGTTGTCCTACAATGCAGGGACTAACAAGACTAACAACATTGCTGGCACACGCTTCCCGGGATTGAGCATTCAGTAGACGTTTACCACATACATAACAAGTGCGGTATTTAGGGTTTCTTGATGTTTTAGCTATGGAACCATCTTAATTATTTTATTTGTTCGTGACATACCCATTACCTTGAAAAACTTGAGATATATCAGTAAAGTATAACTGTTGGAGATCAGACAGTGTCATTGAGCTGTGTATCACGCTCTCTCTAGAATGACTACAATTGACTGGATAACGAACTAGAACTCCATCACGAAGACCGAGAATTAAATCCAGCCCAGTACCAATAAAATAATTAGTCCGTTTCAGGACTTTCCCGATGACGGTAGCAGGTTATCAGCCAAAATTTAGGATAAAAACTATTTAGTAATTAGTATATAGTTATAAAAACAATAATAGTAAAAAAATCGGTTATTCATGAATAATTAGGCTTAGGTGATCGTATAAGCTACTAAACATGTTACTGACTGACATCCGATCACCAAAACTTTACTTATTCTCAAATACCTTAATTATTATTTTTTGTCAGGAAGTCAAAACCATCACCTGTTTTTCAGTTCCTCATGCGGGAGTTTATGAACGTCATAGTATTTTAAACATAAATTTTATAATAAAAGTATGACGTAAAAGGAGCTATTGCAGTTGGGTAAACAAAATAAATTATATCATAAAGCTTACTAAATTTATTTCAAGTCGGTTTTCTATGAAACGGAAAATCTTTCACACTTTTTGCTGAAACAGTGAAAGTTAATTCGCAAAGGAATGTGTTCATTTACAACTATGTATTTCACATAAGAACCATTGACAACGCTTGTTTGCTACATCAAATATATATTAGGTTTAGAAGCAATTTATTGTAGTAACTAATTTTTCTACTTTTCATTATGTTTTGTATTGAATATCTCTCCATATATAAAACAAAATAATACAATTCTTGAAACTTTTTTTTCTTACTCTTCTTTATTATTTGCTTCTTCTGGTTTGGTGACTTTAAACGTTACTATTCAGTATGTAATCTTACAGCTAATTTAGAATAAAAACTTTCAAATAATACTTTTCAACTAAACTAAATAACTTGAATTAGTTATATATTTTTTCAAGATGTACGAACGTAAAATACAATATTTTTATAAATTAAATACACTCAAAAAAAAACTAGTCAAAGCTTATAAAATATACTTTCTTTTCTATTCCTTTATATTTTTTCTTTCAATTAAAATTTTATTTTAATTATAATTTCTCCTATAATAATAGAAAAGCAGTTTTCATTTCCATGATATTTAAGAGTTTAATTCAAAATATACCTCTTACTCACTTCATTTTGCCCTTTTATGATTACTTTGAATAGCTTTCACTGTTGCACAATTAACCTTACTCATCTACTATTACTTCTGCCCTCTTATATTTACCTAATTAAAATGGTGCCAAAAATATTTGTCAAAATTAATCTTTTACGTCTTATGTAAATACCCCAAAAGGGAACATGTGAAAATATGGTCCTTCCAGAATTTTAAATCTGCTCAAAATATATTCAATAAAATGTTTGGTGGCAAATCCTGAGATATTTTTCGGGGCTTCTAAAATGCAATTTATTTGAATTCATCCT